GGGGGGGGGGGAGACGGCAGCTTTGGTTGCAGCCACCGGCGTTTAGGTTCATTTCTGAGGCTTAGCCATGTCCTCCCCGTTTGAGGGAAACAACCCCTAAGACTTTCAGAGGAGCCTGGGCCTCCAGGGAATGTCACCAGCGGCGACCGTGTGGCCCTTCTCCGCGCGTGGAGGCGAGAAAGTTAGCTCTCCCCGCAGTCACCAGCTGGGAGCGGCGCCCACACTGCCGCTGAGACGTTCACAGCTGACCGGTAACTGGGAGAGCGGGTTCCTTCTGGGCCCCCAACTCCTATTCCCTCCTGATTACACCCGATCCGGTCCTTTAATCCCTGCTCACCCGCACTCAGGGGCAGTGCAGGGTCCTGACCAGGGATGGACGTGCCCGTGATCACGCATGCATCGTACTGTGCACGTGTGTGCGCGCGTGTGCGTGTGTACATGCATGCGTGTGCGTGTGCAACTAAGTAGTTATTTCAATAACGCAGAGACCCTGTCTTACCTTTTCAAGTCCACCGTTGTCACATTAAATATAACGCCCTTCAGCCAGAGAATCATAAAGAGGCGCTGGGAAAACGGGCAGTTTCCAATGCTCTCCCCGTCACAGCCAGCCTACGACGGAGAAAGAAAGACCACTTATTGGGGCCAGTCACGGCGCTCAACGCCAGGCTCCCAAGTGCGTGCACCCGGGTCACTGTGAGTTTTTGGTAGAGGTCACGGTCCTGTAAATACACTTCGCTCAGCCTCCGGGCCAAGGTGGGGGTGAGGGGAGCGGGGCAAGGACACCCCCCATCCCCACCCCCACTTCCTGCCACACGGGGACTCTGAGGGGCAGGTCACCGAGGGAGAGAGCGGTGAGAGGGACTCCCTTTGTTACCAAGGACGAAGGAAGGCATGCTCTGCCCTCCTCTAGCTCTCGATCCTGTGCAGAAGCCACACACCTCTCCCTCGGGGGGAATCCTGCTTAAACAGACCAGCAGCCTGAACCAGAACAGACCAGAACCCAAAGAAACGCCACCCTCCCGGTCTGGGCTGTGCGAGGGAAGGCGAGCGTTGGAGCACACGCCTCTGAGACCCCTGGACAGGACACAGCTTTTCCATCCCCTCCTCTGACTCACGGGGTGGCAGAGAGATGGGGAGAGACTGCACTTAGAAGGGAGATTGTTACACCGTCGGCGTCGAGGGTGGAAGGTTATGAAACGCGTCCTCTCTGGTGACCCAAAGCAGGTCACATCCCCGCACAGGTCACGTCCCCCAGACACCGGCACAGAGTATACTGAGCATGCGTCCCCGGCAGAGGAGAAAGGCAGGTGTCGGGGACAAGAGGAGATGCGAGAACAAGGCGGCGGAATCGAGACTAACAAAGGCGGTTCCGAAACTAGTCCTTCTCGGCCCTGTCTCTCACGTCACACATCTCTGACGAGGTCGTGGTGCTCACAAAATGAGGCTGGGAAGGCCAGCAGGCAGCCTGGACCCACCCTCCCATCTCCAGACACCAGCGACACAAACGCAGCCGTGTTGTGTCGTCAAAAGGAAGTTGGGGAAAAGGCACTGACTGTATCTAGAACCCGGACAGACGGACGAGAGGCAGAGTGAGCTACTGTTTGGGGAATTGAAGAAAGATGGGCCAAGAAGACTGGACAAGCGAAGGAGGGCTTCAGAGACATGGGTCCTGACATCAGTGTCCAAGCAGTCAGGACAGCTGCCCTGCGGACGGGCCCAGAAGTAGCTCCCGCTCGTCCCAACCCTGCTGAAGCTCTGAGGCCATCCCCACCCTGCTGAAGCTCTGAGGCCATCCCCAGGCTGCTGGCCACCTGAGGCCATTCCCACCCTGCTGGTCCCCTGAGGCCATCCCCACCCTGCTGGTCCCCTGAGGCCATCCCCACCCTACTGGCCCCCTGA